TTTTCTTTATTGTCTTATTTTATTCTATTTATTTATTAGATATTCACTTATCCTAAAATATATATTTATAATAAATATTGATAGTAAAAAAAGAATATAAGAAAAGTTTTAAAGGTTTAAAGCGCACGTGTGACCGCTCGCGTCGTCCTTGTGCTAAAAATTTTTTTGATGAATAAAATTTCAAAAATACGTTTTAAAGGTTTAAGTACACGTGGACCGCTCGCGTCGTCCTTGTGCTAAAAACCTTTCTTCTTTTCTAAATAAATTTACAAAAAATGTTTTTAAAGGTTAAGCACAAGTGTGACCGCTCGCGTCGTCCTTGGGCTAAAAACTCTTCTTCCTTTCTTAAATAAATTTACAAAAATATGGTTTAAAAGGTTTAAGCACACGTGTGACCGCTCGCGTCGTCCTTGTGCTAAAAACCTTTTTCTTCTTCCTTAAATAAATTTACAAAAGAAATACGGTTGAAGGTTAGCACACGTTTGGCCGCTCGCGTGTCCTTGTGCTAAAAACCTTTTTCTCTTCTTAAATAAAATTCAAAAATACGTTTAAAGGTTGAACATTCGTGTGATCGTTCGCATCGTCTAGTGTTCAATACTTTTCTCTCTATTTACGTAATATTAAACGAGGGTATGAGGCTCGTGCGATCGTACGCATAAGCCTGCACCAATACTCTCAAGGTTTTTTAAATAAGTAAATAATGGTATGTGTGCTCGTGCGATCGTCCGCATCAGCCTAGCACTCAATACTCTCAAGTCTTCCTAAATAAGTAATAACGGTAGGAGTGCTCGTGTGATCGTTCGCATCGGCCTAGTGTAATATCGTTATCTCTCTTTTCAAAAAAATAATTAAAAATATTAATATCATTAAAGGTATGAGGACTCGTGCGACCGTTCGCGTCGTAGCCTAGTACTCATTACCTTCTTTTTCTCGAAAATATTATAAAAACATAAAAATCCAAAAATTAAAAACATCTGTTTTTCAAAACAAACAAACAGTCTTCAGCTAGAACTACGTAACCCTGATTCTCATTTGAATGAGAATACGGAGGAAGCAAGGTCAATTTGTCGGGCCCAAAAAAACTAAAAAATATATTTTGTTTATTTTTATTTTATTTTTATTTAGGATGGATAGTTAAACATTGAAACCCACATCAAATTAGCGTATTTAGTTAAAGGTACTGCCTTGGGCAGGCGTTGTAGGGGTGTAATACCTTCCCACACGTAACCGACTCCCGAACCCAGAATCTGGTTTTCGTGGAATCGTGCTTTATCGTTTTGAGGGTTTTCCCTAGTTTTCCATAATAAACTATGGTTGCGACTCCAATCTCTTTGTAAAAACCCGTTTCTTTTTGGATCGTCGTCCCGTCGCGATTCCGGTTGCGACAAAGTGTGCTAATTAATACAACAAATTTTATACATGAGGATGAGCATGTGTGATAGTTGAATAATATAATGTGAAAATCATTTGAACCATTTTGTGCTTTAAAAGCCATATGTTAGGTTTTCATTTGTAAGACTTCATGACAATGTTTTCTAGTTTTTGTTAACACATATTATACTTGAATTTGAATTTTAATATGTATACTTGTAATATTTTGGTATATATTTAAATTTATATATATATATATATATATATATATATATATATATATATATGACTTATCAATTTGATGAATGTTATATCTATGTGTGTATAACTTAATCAAACATAGATAAACAAATATAATAAATGTAGATAATTGTGGTTAAAAAACATAAAATAAATTAATAAAACAAACTAATAATAATATTTTTAAAATCTATGGTACTTTACGAAGGTTTACAAACACATGGTAGTATATGAAAGTTTTGAAAGTCATGATATTTTATGAAGGTTTCAAAAATCATGATAATTAATTAGGGATTTTATGTTGGGTCTATTGAGAAGAAGATTCACTAGAAAGATACAACATTAATGAGACTGAGCCCAATCACATAAGGGATTGACATCACTCTCTACAAAAAACCTTAAGGCAATGGGTTAATAGATCTTCAACCTTATATGATGCTCTAGTTTCTCATTTCTACTCATTGTGTGACTTAGACTCACACTTGGAATTCTAACAATCTCTACCTTCAAGGGTGAGCCCCTTCCAACAGAAGCATTCAAGTACCCCTTTTCGTACCATCGTTCATCTTAACGGGACACGCTTACCTGAAACCCTTTGCTAAGAAGACTTTCGATACAGGGATCATTGTACTATTCTGAGCCTAACCTGGCTCTGATACCACTTGTTGGATCTATTGAGGAGGAGGTTCATTTGAGAGATACAACATCAATAAGATCTGAGTCCAACCATATAAGAGATTGACACCACTTTTAGTAACTTGCAAGTTGCAAAAGCTTTCTTCCTATCAAAATAAGCCATTCTCATCTTCTCCTCTATAAGCTCCTTTAATATACAATTTTTTTTTTATTTTTCATTGTAGCTAGGATTAAGGGTGGAAAAAATAAATCCAATTTTGGGATCAATCTATAATAATCCAAATCCATAGGGCTTTCAATCCATTTAAATAAATTTATCCTAAGTCCAAATCCATATTTTTGGATTCTAAATCTAATCCACTAAGTTGGATTTATATTGGATCATTTTTTGGATTTTGAAAATCCAAAATCAAGGTGGTCTAAGTCAAATCAAGGCGGTTGAGGAACAAGTTGAACCAAGTTGGCTCAAGTCCAAAGGTTGAACAGAGTTGGTTAGAGTGAATGTTGAGCTGAGTTGGCCTAAGGTAAAGGTCGAGCCAAATTGGTCTAGGTAAAGTCAAGTTTGTGTAAGCTAAAGATTGAGCTGAGTCAGTTTGGGTTGTAAAATTGAACAAAGTTAACCTAATTTGATAGGCCAAGTTGAGTCTACCTAAGCCAAAGCCCAAGACATGTATGTCTGGACCAAAGATCAAGACAAATTAGTCCAAATTAAAAGATCAAGACGAGTTGACTCAAGTTTAAGGTTGAATCAAGTTGGTCTCGAGTGAATGTTGAGCTGAGTCAGCTCGAATCAAAGGTTGACTAAGTCGACCCAAATTGAATGTTGACCAAAGTCGATCGACTTGACCCACCAAAAGTTAACTGAGTCGACAAGTCAAACTTTAATGTATCTTTTTAACCAATTTGTTTTTAAAATAATAATTGAAGTTCTTTTATGAGTTGAATCGAAAGAAAGAAGTGATGTTGATATTTATTTCAGGTGAAATATTAAAGTTGAAAATAAAGAACAAATAACTTTGTATTTTTAATTTTTAAGTTTTTGCATAATAAAGTTGAAGAGATGTAGAATTGAGTTGTAATTTCTTTTCATTTTGAAAATGTACTAAACAACATTACACTAGTTTTTAATGTTTTCCACATATATAATTATGTTTTCACATATACATTATCATAGTTGCATGTTTAATTACATTTCTAAATGTAATGAGTTTTACTTATATTATTTTTAATTACAACAACTAATAAATATTGATTTCGTAAAATTGAATAAATAATGTTTTAATAATTTATTTGACTCGTTGCATTTCTATATTACATTAACATGTTCAAAATAAATTGGTGGTTTGATGCATTAATAATTTGTTTAGAAATTGGTAGTTTAATGCATTAATAATTTGTTTAGAAGTTATATATGTGGTCAAAGTAATAAGTCGCATTTCAAAAGTATTAAAAATGTCATCGAAGATGAGATTTCAAAAGAATAACTAAATTTGTGAAAGTGATATTTAAAATTGTCTAAAAACAATTGCAGTAGTTAAATACTTATGCCCTAAATGTAAAAGCAACAATTAAATAATGGCTTAATACCCTATTTTGTCCCCAGTTTCGCTCGAAAATGTCAAATTAGTCCATCCTTTAAAAAATGCGTCAATTACGTCCTCACTTAATAAAATTTGCATCAATGAAATCCCTTCCGTTAAATCCGTACAAACGGCGTTAATTATTTTTCTCTCTTATTAAGTAACGTCGTTTGTACGGATTTAACGGAAGGGATTTCATTGATGTAAATTTTATTAAGTTAGGACGTAATTGACGCATTTTTTAAAGGATGGACTAATTTGACATTTTCGAGCGAAACTGGGGACAAAATAGGGTATTAAGCCTTAAATAATCATATCCTAAAAAATAGACACGGATTAAAATATGAACTAAAGTATTACCCAAACATTAATAAAAAGCGTGAAATTTTTAAAACATTTATAATTTTAGGAAAAAACTCATTGTCTAAATTTAAGATTATGATTTTTTTACTTTATACAACATTTTAAAGTTTTTAAACTAAAAAAATATATAATGATCATGTTTATATAAATTATTATCTAATTCACAATATGTTACAAACATATATATATATATATGTGATGGTACACATTTGTAAATAATATTTCTGAAATACATTTTGAATAACTAAAATTTGGTAATTTTTATTTTTGTCAAAATTATGAAAAACTTTTAGACAAAATATTTAAATGTAAACTTAAATCTATTCCTTAATCTTGTTCACTTAAAAAATTTCAATCTAATAATATATTTTTTAAAATTGATGAATAAAATAAAAAATAAAACAAAAGTAAAGTAATATTTTGAATCAAAATTACAATCTCTCTCTTCTCCGAAACATACGATCATTTAAACTTTTTAATTTATTTTTCTTCTTTTGTTTCCCTCTACTTCATTTCAAACAAAACGTTTTCTTTGTATCACCTCACTCTCTTTGTTATTTGTCTTCTTCTCTCTTGTATTCCATCCATCATTTGTTTGGAAACATCCAACAAAGGGCTGAGGCCGGCCAAAACACAAAGAATAACACACTAGCCTACATGGACATGAATCTATTACTTGTCCTAACAGAATTAACAAGAAAACTACTTTATATTATATATTCTTTTAAATAAAACAATTCGCCATAAAGAAATCCTGACCGTTGATCCCATCGCGCATCAGCACACTTTTCATTTGTAATGTAAACGAGTGCAAACATTCCACTTGCCTGTAGAACTCTCTAGAACCTCTTTCTCAGTACCAAGACTAGAACTCCACTCTCTTCTTCCTCTTCTCGGCGTCAGTGAAAGCGATGGAAGAAGATTTCGACATTCCTGGCGGCGAGGAAATGGATCTAGGAGAAGACAAGGTCGGCGAGGAGAGGGAGATCGGCTCCAACGGCCTCAAGAAGAAGCTCCTTAAGGAAGGTCAAGGCTGGGAAACCCCCGAAGTCGGCGACGAAGTTAAAGGTAACCCTAATCACATCAATTCTTCTGTTGTATTCACCTTTCTGTTTTTTATTCTCATTTGTTTTAATTTGCAGTTCATTACACGGGGACTTTGCTCGATGGAACGGAGTTCGATTCGAGCCGCGGCAGGGATTCTCCCTTCAGCTTCACGCTTGGACAAGGTCTGTGATCTCGCTAGTGTTATCGTGAATTAATTGTGTTTTAATTTGCTTGCTGAACGTTGGAAAATGACAGTGGAATTCTCGTGTGCATGATTAATTTTTTTTACTTGTTTAAGCAATCTTTTGTTTTGTTTTTTGTGGAATTTTAATTTTTAAATGAAGCGGGTTTTTGTGTTATGTTGGACTGGTTTGAGCTTCTGGTGCCAGTTGTTGCTTTAACTGAGGGATTAATTCAGACATGTTGGGATTGAGATAATTGTTTCTAGGTTTTTCTTCCGTTTTTGAAAAACAATTATTTTCGGAGATGCGGTGTGGAAAATGCTGGATTTTGTTTTCATCATTTATTGTACGATGCTTTGAAATAAAAAAAAGAAGAAGTTAAAACTATGTAGTATTTTCGTTTATTTTAAATAGGAACTAGACATAGAAAAGGTGGTCTGACACCCAATGAGTCCGTACTGATCTGAATTTTGATGAGTTGTGCATTTCCAAATCATGTGCGTTTCTAAATCATATGAATGTTGTATTACTGATTTAGAATAAAAATTAAAAATACATTTATTGCTAGTGTTATATTGATATTTCAAGGTATTTCACTTTTACACCTATACTTATATGCAACAAGTATGTCCAATAAAGTGCAATAGAGAATTTGTCGTTGCAGTGTTTGAAGAGAGGAAATCATATGCATGAATAGTTATTCAAAGATCGATTAGTATTTTGTACGCCTTCTATGTGGTGTGACTCAAGCTTTCCTAAATCTTGTTTGGGTACACTGGCAACTTGCATTGCTACTCCAACTCAAATTTTCTTCTATTTGGTATTCATGTCAATGTTTGAATAGAAATAAATTATGGCTTGAAAGTAATCTTAGACACATGTCAAATTTATCTATATGTGACATCTTGGTTGGAACTGCAGGGCAGGTAATTAAAGGATGGGATGAAGGTATTAAAACAATGAAGAAAGGTGAAAATGCTATTTTTACCATCCCTCCTGAGCTAGCATATGGTGAATCTGGTTCCCCTCCAACAATACCTCCTAATTCTACACTCCAATTTGATGTTGAGCTACTTTCATGGACTAGTGTAAAGGACATATGCAAGGATGGTGGTATATTTAAAAAGATACTCACTGAGGGAGAGAAATGGGAGAACCCTAAGGATTCTGACGAAGTATTGGGTATATATTATAATTTTATTGAGTTTATGTGATGCCTGTGTTAATTATTATAATTTTATTGAGTTTAAGTAATTGTTGTGTGTTGGTAATGCAGTTAAGTATGAAGCTCGTCTGGAAGATGGAAAACTGGTAGGAAAGTCTGATGGAGTGGAGTTCACAGTCAGAGAAGGTCAGTGCCTTCAATCTTTCTTGGCAGATTATTGTTTTATTTTACTGAGTATCTGACGTGAATGTTTATACTTGATAGGTCATTATTGTCCTGCACTGTCAAAGGCTGTTAAAACCATGAAGAAGGGAGAGAAAGTGGTTTTGACAGTTAAGCCACAATGTAAGTTATCTAAACTGTATTTTGGTGATTAGATGTGACTGACATTCTTCTTGATATTTTCTGTCTCTTATTCCTAATTTGAAGTTTTCATTTCTTTGACGGGTCATAGATGGATTTGGTGAGAAGGGGAAGCCAGCACAAGGTGAAGAAGGTGCTGTTCCACCAAATGCATCATTAGAGATTACTTTTGAATTAGTTTCATGGAAAACTGTTTCGGAAGTAACTGATGACAAGAAGGTCATTAAGAAGATCATCAAAGAAGGGGAAGGATATGAGCGTCCAAATGAGGGTGCCAGTGTGAAAGGTAGTACTTATTTATTTTGAATAGTGACTATTACTGCTATATTTATTTATTTATGCATTTAATACACTGTTGCTGACTGTATCTTTGTCATTTTCTGTTTTAGTGAAACTAACTGGTAAGCTTCAAGATGGTACTACCTTTTTGAGCAAGGGCCACGATGAAGAAGAGAAGCTGTTTGAATTCACAACAGACGAGGGTAACTTGAAATCTGCTAGTGTCCTTAGTTGTCTTCATCCTCTATATTTTATTTTTTAGTAAAGGGATTGTTTGATCTGTGCAACAGAACAAGTTGTTGATGGACTTGATAGAGCTGTATTGACTATGAAGAAGGGTGAGGTTGCATTGTTGACCATTGCACCTGAGTATGCCTTTGGTTCATCAGAGTCTCAGCAGGAGTTGGCAGTAGTTCCTCCTAACTCAACTGTGTTTTTTGAAGTTGAGCTAGTTTCATTTGAGAAAGTAAGTTAGTAACAGTGTTGAATTAGTATTGACCTTTGCTTTTATTAATGTTTTAATTTTTATAAAAAAGAAATTCTGATTTTTAATTAAAAAGCAACTCTACACCCTTAACTGCAATGTAATAAAGAACTGGTCAAGACTGAATAGAAGCTTGATAACTCTACATTTTAGTGTTTTACCCAAGACCAGAACGTTTTAATTGCCCATTTCTTTCTGTACCTGATTTTTTGAATCCAAGACAACCGTTCTCCCTCTCCAATTTGAGCATATTGGGAGTTCATTTTTGTACCTTCAATTATTTATATTCTTTCATTGCAAATCACACATAACAGAACAATCATTCAAGATTAGTTGTGTTGTACAACAGTTCATTGCATGCTCTATGACCTCGATTAAGAATCAATTCAGCTAGGTAGATCAGAGCTGTTACCTAAGTATTTCCTTTAACTTCTTTATGACATTGAGTATATGGTATTCTACAAAATTGAGTTTTTTGGCTCTCTGAAATAAGAGTAGTGATCTGGAAGTCAATCTTATGATTTGTTGGCACTCCTTTTTACATTTGCACACTTGTTCGTTTTTGTACTCTGCATTATATATTTAAGCAGTTTTATCGGTAGTAATGTAGATCTGTTT